ATAAATTTTTTATTTATATTCAGAAAATGTATATCCATTTTAAAAATTGTGTATATAATTTCAACACATACAAACTTATATACATAAAATAAATACATAGACAAAAATACAAAGATACCCTGTTGAGGAAACCTAAAGAGTGCAGCTCTGATTCTGCTTTCATTTGTGGCATTGCACATCAGGAGTAATATTGTGGAATTCAGTGACTGTAGAATGCAATCAGGAACAGAACAAATGTTTGTAGGCAGGAACGAAAATCCAAATAAGTATATGGGGGTCCTGTTGAATAGTTGTCAAATGAAATCCTGTGAACTCACAGGAGAAAACACATTAAAAAATGCTTCCAGCATAAGGGGCTGAAGTTATATCCTAGAAAAGGCACAGCAAAGATGCAGAGCAAGTGGCCTTTTCTTTTATTCCCTCTTTCCAGTCTTAAGCTCAAGTAATTCTTGCTGAGTTCAGCTAGATTTGTGTGAGTGTAAAATTAGATCAGAATTAGTCCCGGGTTGTTTGTTTTACCAACAGTGCATGTCTCAAGAGACTTTCATGTTTCCCTGTAGAAACAGTCAGAGGTGCGTCTAAGGCTGGGTGCTGCCAAGACCTGATCCCTGGGATTCAACTAAGAATTTCTGGCAGACTGAGTGGTCCCATTAATCGCAAGTGGTATCTCTTAAACCCTTCAATTACAAGAGATTAGTGGGAAACTGTAGCATTGGACTAAAGGAGTAATGACACATAGGAAGTGAAGCAGAAAACCTGCTTTCTTCTTTTTAAGGAGAAGTTCAATTTACAGTTTATTTAAATATAAATTGCAAGTATAAAGTATTAGAGTTCTTAAACTTCACTGTTCAGTTAATTTCAAATTAACCGTACTGTATTTCTGCCTTCCCCAGAGCGGCACTGTGATCTTCAGCCTGTCTGTTCCTGAAATTGAACTCTGAAGTCTTTTAAGCCCATTAAGTTCCTGTGCTATCCCCATAGCTGGCTGAGTTACATTCACCCGTCCTCACACTGCCTCCCCTGTGGCGTGGATTGCAGGGGGGAGCACAGACTTGAGCCCCCTCCCACTACCCCCAGCTATTAATTGCATGAAGGACTGTGAAACATCAGACCAGGAGGCAGCGGTCTCCCATCGTTTGTACTGCTCTAGCTTAGTTGATTTACTGTTGTCATAACCACTGTTGGGAAATGCTTTGCAAGAATCCTTGGATTTAGGTTACATGCATAATAATGTTTAATAATGGAGTGCCTACCTAATGGCAACTGCCGGTCCTTTGAGCCCAGTAATGACTGAACGTATCCGTATGCTTGCAGTGAAGTTTCAACTCAGCCCATTGTACAGACAGGGAGTGTAAAACAGATTGTATCACTCTAATTCACAATCGTACTGTATCTGAGGCACAGCCATTGGGAGGGGTCTAGCTCCCCAATCTCGGCCTCTCTCCTGAGAAGATACATCTAGCTCAGAGATTTTAGCCTGCTTAGCTTATTGGGCCACAGTGATGTATGCAGTTCTGAATCCCAGTGTGTGTTTCTCAGGGGTGAAGTTTGCCTGTCTCTTGCCTGCTTGTTTAGTTTTTGCTGCTGTCACAGCTCCCATGGCATACAGTGGACATGTATTTTGCACAGCCAGAATCTAATTGTCTTCTCAATTAATGTAATGTAAATCAGAAGTAATTTGAAAAAGTTACACTGGTGTGAAACTGGCCTGGAAGAATGCTCTAGGGTTTACAAATTACCAGGTGAGTTCAAATCATCTATTGCTACCACTTGTGTTCAGTGTCAGTCACACTTATGCACCCATCTTTATTTTTGCTAGCATGTGATTTTTGCTGAAGACTCAAACAGATTTGTGTGTGCTGCTGAATTTGGGCCAGGCACTGTGCTGCCCAAGAAAAGATTTTTATTATTCTTACAACAAAAGGAGTGACTTTAGACAGCCTACAAAGTAGCCACGTACATCTCAGATAGTCATTTAAGATGCCTGTGGTGGTACAGAGAAAGCAGGAAGTATTTTTGGAGTGCAAGTCGTCTTATCTGGAAGGCAGTTCTATAAAACAGACCATGTGAATTAAGTGCTAGAAGTGCCTGTTTCTGTTGTCTGCAAAAGCGTCAGGCAACTGGCTTGGATGGAGACAGTTCCTGCAGGCTGGTCTAAATGGGGGTGAGAGGAGTTACCCACGATAAGTCGTGCCAAGGTGCATAGAGATCTTCATGCCCGCTGCAAAAAAACTAGCAAAAACGTGGTCCAGCTATCAGGATATACCAACATATAATCAGTATGATGCTTCTCTGCCCTAAAACACATGAACATGATCTTTTCCAAATTAAATGTTTCTATGATTCTACATAGACATGGCACTTAGGGACATGTTTTAGTGTTGGACCTGGTAGCTTTAGGTTAACAGTTGGACTCGATCTTATGGGTCTTTTCCATCCTAAGTGATTCTATGATTCTATGAATCATTAAGTCTCAAAACAAAATCCCCAAAGCACAAGAAATACAAAGGTTCATGGCAATTGCAGTATTTTTATTGAGAAATGTCTATATTTGCCAGAGTTGAGGAGCCAAATGGTCAGAAAATGTATGCTGTTAGACAACTCCTGGGACTTCTGAGTTGAGCTCTCTTTTTATAGTGGTTCATTCAGTTTATCTGTTGCTAGTAAATTTTTAGGATTTCAGTTAAATTGGTCCTTTACTCCAGGGAAAGAGAAAGCTAATGCCTCAGCTTCTGTTACTATAGCTGTTGGAAGTTAGGAGGATTTGCAGTATTACTTCAGTAAGAAGTGACAGGTATTAATCTGATTTTGTGTGAACAGGACCCAAACCAGTGATACTATATTGTAGCAAAACTGGTGTAGCTGAAGTTAAAACTGTCCATACAGAAAGAACTCTTAGACTGTATATGAAGGGTTGTTAAATTTCATGCACTATCCATTCTCTAAAACCCAAAGAAACTTAGCCCCAGGGTATCCAGTTAACTCTTCGTTGCACACAAGGATCAAGGATCTGGAGAACATGGATTCATAGAAGCCACAAATACACGTAAATTTATAGGGAAATGGTTTTCTAAAGCAGACCAAGTATTTTATTTAAACTAGTTGAAGAATAGCATTTATATTGGTTTCAAGCAGATCAGTCTAATGCTCTTGATATTGGCATCTGTTTAAAAATGTGGGACACAGTACAAGAAGCCAAAGACATCCAAAGTTGAAAACAGGAAAACAGATTACAACTGGTATTGCTTTGTTGCTCCTCTAGGATTCACAGTGTTGAACTCCCTCCCTTCCCTGCTAACTTGACTAGTGCCTCCCTTCTGAGCTGCGAGGAGACCTGGGGCTGGAATAAACATTCTGACCTTGCCCTGTTCATGTGGACTGACCGGGGTATGTTGGCTGCCTCTGTCCCCAGTAGAAATCAGCTCTGCTTAGGGTTGGGCTTAGAAGAATGCATTTGGCAAAATACTGTAAGCGGCTTTTTTCAGTTAGAGGTTAGGTTTCATAAGCAGCTCAGATGAGCAGTTGAGAAGAGAATGCATTCACACCCAGGCAGTACTTTTTCTCTTTCCATCAACTGATTGTGTAAAACTGAAATCATGTGCACAGATTTGTGACCTTTTTACCATTTAGTGACAACTTGTTTTCCCAGATTAAAATGTGGTGTCAAATTACCACTTTGATTTACAGGTATTTAGAGAAAACATCACAAAAATACTGAATAATCCCAATTAATCTCTGATCTCATTCTGTTGTCTTCAAAGACTTGGATTTGCCCAGATTATACTTCTCAAATCAGCTGATTTATTTTCATATGGGATGAGCTTAGGCCAGCATGAAATGAGATCTCCATGCAAAGAGCACCCATCTCAGTAAGGCCAACAGGAACTGCAGTCTTGTCTAGCTTTTAGAGCCACAACCTCCTCCCAGGGTGTATCTGTCATTCCAACAGCAGATGTGCTCCCAACCTGTGCTAAGGTGACCCTTTGTGGTTATTTGCATGCCAGCCATGAGTGGGTTTGATATAAGTGACATACAGTACAGGAGCATTAAGATGAAAGTTTTGCCTGGTGGGTGTGAAAATCAGTCTGCGTGAGGACAAAGTGTGTGCAGGTGTGGCTAGAGGCAGGAGCTGGCAGAGAGATGTTTGCCCGCTAAAGTTCAGGAATTTGTGTGTCCACAGGTGGTGAATTCATGGGGAGAAGCAAAGCCAGACTCATTGTCATGAGTTTTTGAGTTTTACTTACATCTAAATTGCTTACTGACTGGGCTAAGCATGCAGTATAACCTCATTAAATCCATGAAGATGTAGTTTTGTCTTAGGAATAATGTCTTATTATGTAGCCATTTAACGAGTTGTGAGCTAACATGTTTTAACAAATCTTTAATCGCTTATTACATTCCACTCCCTTGACAATAATTTCAAAATATGACCATTAAAATGGGGCTCTTTTCACAACTCTTTGATGATCACACTTAGAACTGAGCAGTTCATCTTTTTGCATTTGGATTAGAATTGGAAAGGTGTAAATTACAGATCTGGCTTTTACGTGCTTTTATTGATCAGACTGCTTTGTAGGAACCGTAGCAATTCTGATAGCTTAGCAGTCTAGATTACCTTTCAGCTTTCTTAATTGGGCCACTGGGGCACAGTTAATTTTCAATTTATATTGAGAGAAAGACAAGGTGATATAATACCACATTATTGTACTTAAGTAACATGAACACCAAAACACTATAATGTACCTTGTAATACTAAATACACAAGTTTTTTGTTGCAGTAGATGGGGATGAGTTCTAGCTTTATTCACTGTGTATTTTAGGCCAAATTCTGCCTATAATAATTCCTGTGTCTTCATTTCCTGTGACTTCCACTGAGACACTAGCTACAGCAAGCAAGTATGATTTGGTTGAGTGTAACTGGAAAGTTCATTCAGCGTACCAGTCTAGAGCATCCAACAGACTAATCAAATGCGGTCATCTTTTTGTGTGTTTACTGACAGGTCAAAGTCATGGTGCGCATTTCTTCCACCCTTGCCAGAGACACGTCTGAGTCCAGCTCTTTCTTAAAAGTTGATCCCCGTAAGAAGCAAATCACGCTGTATGACCCATTGGCCTGTGGAGGTCAGAATGCTTTCCAGAAAAGGGGCAACCAGGTTCCACCCAAGATGTTTGCTTTTGATGCAGTTTTCCCCCAAGATGCATCACAGGTAGGAAATGTATGATCAGAATAGTTCTCTAAACAATAGCATGCACCAGAGCCAAATTTGTTTCTGCTGCAACAGTAGTACTTTCAGTGGAGTTACACCAGGGATGAATTTGGTCCACCAATGTCATCAATAATGAAATCAGTTTATTAAAATGTATCTTGATAATTGTGTGCTTTCTTTATTCTTTAATGTAAATAATTGCTCCTAAAATTATACATGCAATAAATGTGCTAAATAGTGCCTAGTAGGAAAATCCTCAATATCAACAAGTTATTGTATATGATAAAATCCTATTATTTTGTCTATACAACAGTCTAATCAGAACTGCAGTTCTCTAACACAGTCCTCTTCATGAAGAAGTCAAGGATTATTTATACAGTCTTCTATTGTACAGTTTACAATAGGAGGATGGGGAATTTAGTCCACAAATCTTTATTCATATGTATATATTCAGATTTCTTATTTTTATTAGACTTCTTTGGTTTGATGAACTATGTTACCCAAATGTCATGAGAAGTACAGTAGAAGCATAAAATAACGTTGCAAAGTATAATTAGAAAACGGTACTGTAAGGCTCCTTCTGTACTTACAAACTTAACAGAGCTAGGGCACAGGGCCAGCTAAAGCACTGTCATATGACTGTATCATTAGGTCAATCCCTGACTTAGTTCTGGTCCAGGCCGCTAGTACCTCCCACACTAATGCCTGGATGCAGTTCAAGGGCTGTGAACAGTCCCTTTCTTGGCCCATTTTATTTACTGTTACAGTGATAGTCTAGAAATACCCATAAACTAGGTAAATTTACATGATTTATTACCAAATGTGAAGTGCTTCACATAAAAGCCTAAACTGCAAATTGTGCTTTATTTTCACCCACTGTTTATAGGCAGCTGCTGCAGGAGCACTGTAGACCATTCAGCCTGCTTGAACCTTAAATCTAAGAATGCCCAGAGTAAATTTGTGTGTTGTACTTCTTCAAATACTGCTGCAGTCTTCAGGATGGAGCCTATCACTGCTAGGAGCTAAGAAGACTCATAACGTAGAGAAAAAATAAGAAATGTAACTTAGCTAATACCAAAGAGGCTGTTTGTTCCCCTTATGTTCCTTACCCTTTCTTGCTAGAGGAATTGAACTCAGCCCATAATTGGGCAGATAATACAGCCTGTAAAAATTCCTCATTATTTGATTTGGTTTTAATAAAAAATTTATATTTTTAAAGTCCCCTAAATTGGCAGTTCTAAAAAAACTGACCACATCCCTTTACATTATATGTATTTTGTTTAACCCTACAAAGAATATTGATGCTTCAGCAAATGAAACTTACTTGACTCATAGCAAAAGTCCTGCTTCATGTGCTTACACAAGTAGGTCCCGTGAATGAGATAAGCAGGATTAGATTTTTTGATACTTCAACATGCTACCTGGAGCACTGATGACATTATGACCATTCTCCAGTGAAAATACTCTATTGGTTTTCCTTATTGCTGTTAATGATTTTATTTCTTTTTTTTTCTTTCCCTTTTTTTTTTTTTTCTTAATACCTGTGGCAGGCTGAAGTATGTGCTGGGACTGTGGCTGAGGTGATCCAGTCTGTTGTCAATGGGGCAGATGGCTGTGTGTTCTGCTTTGGCCATGCCAAGCTTGGTTTGTATTGTTAAATTTCCCTACTCAAGCAGCAAAGTGAATATTTTTAACTCAAGATTGCTAGTACATTAGATTAGGGAAAAAAAAATTCATTTGTTTGTGCATAGTAATTGTGCTTGAAAGTGGTACACTGTGCATGACCTTGTACAACACCTTGACCTCTCACACTTCTATTTACTTTGCATATTATCTAAATGTTGGGCAGCTGCTCTTTGATACAGTTTTATCTTTGAGTTGTTGCTTCATTCTGTCACCTGAGTACAACAACAATTTTTAGCACTGTCTTCAATTAGTAAGGAATGATCCAACAGTGACCTACAGTTTTACATATGTGCCTGGTATTAGAGACTATTTGCCAAAATGCCACTTTTCTCAAGCTGTGTAAAGGCACTGAATATCCACTCATTACTTGGTGTGCGTGATGGCACTGTTAACTGCTGTCACTGGGCCCTCAAATAGTTTGATTTGTATTCTATTCCCTGATTAGACAATTCACTCACTATTTGCTTCCTATTCTAGTCTGGTGGAAGGTGTCCCTGCCCATGGCAGAAGGGTTGGAACTAGATGATCTTTAAGGTCTTCACCGACTCTAACTGTTCTATGATTCTGTGATTCTGTCTCCAACAATTCCTATTCTAATGGCTAACTGAATGTTACCAATGGATCAAAACTGGCTTTTTGCAAATGCATCATCAGCACTTCAAGTATTCATGGAAAGACAATGAAAAGGAGAATCACCATCATTAAGAAATTATTCTTTTAAAACAACTGTATTTCAAGATTAATCATGTATTTTGTTCATGCTTATTTAAAAGTATTTTGAAAATACTGTGTCTGTAATGAAGAGGGTTGTATTGTATGTGTGCAATAATCTCCATTCTTCACTGTCTCAAAGAAATACAGATGTACACACACAACTTAAAAGGATAATTCAGTTTTTCAAGTGATAAAGAAGAGCAAGGGTATCAGGCCCTGATTATCCTAAATTATAGGCGACTAAAACTGAAGAATGCTGCAATGCCACCAGCTCTGGTATAATGAATGGAGCAGGGCCACTGGCCCAGCTAACCAAGGCCTCTCTGAGCCAGGCAGGAGTAACACTAGGATCAGCACGTGGATATTTAATCCCTTGTGACCTGCCAAACACTACATGGAAAAGAAAGCCACCAGATAATGGTGTCTCACAAGTGCTACATATCCTTCAGAGAGGCAGCCTAGCCAGGGCTTTGCTGGAGCATGAGTTGAGTCTTGGAAGTTGCTTTGTTAACTGCACCACCACCACCATTCCACCAACTGTGGATGCACCCAGACTTTGCCATAGACATGTGCATACCAGTATTTTCTTAGCTGATCCTTTTACACATAGATTCAATATAATAAATGAAACAAGTTAAAGAAGCCACAAGTACTTGTCTGAAAGGATGTATACTTTCATCATTTGGCTTATAGATTTAGGAACTTTAGAAAATTTGGCTAAGAGCATTATATTTAGTGACACGTAAAGCAGTACAAGATACTCCGTGTGTTCTTCATAAGCAAACTTTTACAGCAGAGAAAAGCCAGAGCTATAATTGCAGAGTCAAATATTAGCAAACCAGGGGAAGGTTTTGACCTAAATAAAATATATTTCTCTTTGTGGGCCCACTTATGCACCAAATGACCACATGTACCTGGTTTTGGGGTTTTTTTTATATGAAGTTAGATCTTTATGATCCTAGGACCAGGTTCATGTCAATCCCAACCCCAGTCTATGAAGCATAATATAGTGCTTTGAAGTAAAATGGTATTCAAAGACTACCACACTGACAGTATTTAAAGCATGGATTTTCAGAGACCATGGCACTTCTGCTCTGCTCAGTTCTCCCCACTATTCAGCCACATCAGAGGCTGCAGTCTTGAGTGGTGGGGACCTGCAGCACCCTCCCTGGGCAATGGGGGTTGTCAGGGGAATGTGTGAGGTAATTATGTTTGGAAGCAGCTCAAGATTTCATCTTTTGGTTTTAAATGTTCTCCATTTTCCATGTACTATTTGTCTGCCTTCCTATCTCTCTCCCTTTCTGATTGTTCTTATTGTAAAAAGTTGTTTTCATGAGGCTGTGCAGGATAACCTCTCTTGGAAGAAGGCTGTGAAGGTCCTGGGAGTGATGTTGTTATCTTTTCTCCATCTCCCCATTCCTAACAGGGAAATCGTACACCATGATTGGGAAAGATGATTCCATGCAGAACCTTGGCATAATCCCTTGTGCCATCTCCTGGCTCTTCAAGTTGATTAATGAACGCAAAGAGAAGACAGGAGCCCGCTTCTCTGTCCGAATTTCTGCAGTGGAGGTGTGGGGGAAAGAAGAAAACCTGAGAGACCTGTTGTCAGAAGTGGCTACAGGCAGCCTGCAAGATGGCCAGTCCCCGGGTGTCTACCTTTGTGAAGACCCCATTTGTGGCATGCAGGTGAATCCAAGGTTCATTTTTCACTGAAACAAGCAATGTGACTTCTTTTTTTTTTTTTTTTCCTGAGCTATTGAGGTAGTTCAAATTCAAGAACACTCAGAGCATAAAGTTTATAGACTTGAAAGTGTTTACTTTAAAGCATGCAAGAACTTTATGACCTGCAGCTGCAGGGCCATCTGCTCTCATGGCCTAAATATTTGTACCTCTGGTATAACTGATGTTAAGCAGGGGTTTGTGTTTGCAATAAAATGTGAAAACATTCAGTGCAAACAAAAATTCACCTCATTCTTAAAAAAAAATAATAAAAAGAAAGTGTGATCTCTCTTCTGTAAAACAACAAGCTAAAATATTTACAGTACTGCACAAATAGCTGGAGGCCATTAATATGGCTGTTTATCTCTTTATAAACTACATTATTTATAGCACTTGCATTAGCAATGTTGTAGGAAGCATTAATCGCCACTTATTAATTGCTGCCAAGAAATAAATTCCTGAGCTGGGCAAGCCAAGAATAACTCGAACTCTTCTCAGGTTTGGAGGTTTAGCAGGAATGAGGGACTGGCTCATGTATTTCCTGGGTAACTGCTAGAAAGTCTCAGCAGTTGTTTTTTCCAAACCCTCTTGGTTTGAGGGGGAAAAGGGCCTATTCTTTCATCCTGCTGTCTATGAGGGAGTATATCTAATTTTTTTATAAGTAGATGAAGAGGTAGTAAACCAGCATGATGGAGCTAGAATATATTCTTTTAACCTTAAAGGCAAAGGTTGCTTCTGTCCAGGACCTGCAGGGCACTCGCTATCAAAGGACAGGGAATGGAGGGAGGAGGGTACAAGTCTACAGTGTCATGTACCCTATTTCCAGCTCCAAGCATCTAGAAATCATGATTCGCATCCACAAAAGTCATGAATCATGTGATTTTAAACAGCAAGTAATAAATTTTGTGTTTAATCTCTTTGTAGTTTAAGACTTTTGGACATACTTAGATCATATTTTCCATTCTTTTCCATTCTACTCAAACACTGCAAAGTTGCGTCTTGGTTATTTATAACAATTAGGGTTTGCATTCTCACTTGACTCCTGGCTTTAATGCTTTATGAAATATTTTCAGTAGCATGAGGCCTCACCCTCTGATATCCAGTAATGGGTGCAGTTCATTTGGGTGATAGATGGGCCAGTTAAAATCTGAATTAGCATACGTATGCATGTTATAAATGTTACGTAACTGTGGAACAACTAGCTGCTCCTTATAGTTTTATTCTTTACTACGGTATTTAAGCACAATAGCAACAATAATAAATATTCCATTATTGTTGCTTATTTTCATATATAGAGAGACAGAACAACTGTTTACAAAATGAATTATTTTAGATCACTGGAGAAAAGGTAGCTCCATGAGACGTTTATGTACCTCTGCAGTGTAAAGTACTGAATGAAATTGTGAGGAAAAAAAGCCTTTTTGCTTGTGTTTACAAGACATAGTGACATTCTGGAGTCATGTGTCCTACACCTGAATTCCCAAAACCCTCAGATGAAGGGAGGATATTATATTATAACCCTACAGTTTCACAAAATCAGCAGTGTGTATAACAAATGAATAATCACCATATGTCATACTGTCTGTCATTGGGCCTTTCCAAGTATGCACATTTTCTTGTTGCTTACATTAGTGAGATCAGCCCCCAGATTTGCCTGCCTTCTGCTTGCCTTGTTAACTCCTTCCTGCCCTGCTCCCTCTTTCTGGAGAGAGCTTAGGCTTCAGCTGTGTCGCACCATCCAATGCAGAGCCTCAGCTTTATCTCTCCTCAGGCTGATTAATGGTCATGCAGAGAAGACAAGAGCACTGTCTTCTTTAAGAGAACTTAACTTTTAGCTGTATTACGTAGCAGGGGAACAAACCCTGATAACGGGAGTTCCTCACTGTTTTTACATGAGACAAAACAAGTCTGTCCTATGGGCTGTGGGGCAGCTCTGTGTACTGCCAAACTAATGCCATCAGATTACACTGTCACATGTCCCTTCCACAGAGAAAATAATCTTAGGTGACATGAAACACGCATGCGTTCCTAACATTATGGGAGGGTTAATAATATCTGCCCTCCTGTCTGTCACTTTGGAGAGATAAGAGCAGGCTGGTGCCTGGGACTGAGGTCCAGCAAATGTGAATGTATGTGTATTACCTGCCTTGTTCTATTTAATGGATTGCCCTGACTCATGAGCAGGTGCATAAGCTTGTGGTATAAAGGGGCAAGAAAAAGGTTTCTCTTCTGAGGTGCTCCCCACATGCTATGGGTCTGAACACAAGCTTCACTCTTGTTATTTCCCAGATTCATCTGTGGACTGCTCCCTTCTAAAACTTTCTGAAGGGTAGCACATAGTCCCACCCTTTCCAGTGGCCACCGTTAGTTTGGGATTGATGTGTCTTCCACAATTATTTTTTTTCACTTCTAACCATTGGAAGGACACAGTTATTGCCAGAGCCAGCAATGCAGGTAAAAAAAGGCAGTAAAACCAATTAAAATAGCAAATACTTAATACGCTTAAATAGCTTAAAATTCTGGGAGAGTGAAGGAACAAATTTATGCATCTGACCAGCCCGCAGGACAGTTTTCAGTTGCTGAGGTTTATTTGTAACAGCTGCCACCAGAGGTACCCTAAGTAAGAACCCTCAAGAGCCTGGATTCAATCATGGGGCCGGTGTCAGGAGTGTCTCATTCCACAGGGCACCTCCTTTGCAGTCCTGTCAGAAGCCAATGTATCCGAAACGTGCGTTGACTGAGGGAAGTTGTCTAGAACTGTTGACTTGTGTGGGAGTTTCTCTTTCATTTCTCCCTTGTGTTAACCTGCAGCTTCAGAACCAGAGCGAGCTCCGCGCCCCGACGGCGGAGAAGGCCGCCTTCTTCCTCGATGCTGCCATCGCCTCACGCCGCAGCAGCCAGCGGGACTGTGACGAGGAGGATCACCGCAACTCCCACATGCTCTTCACTCTGCACATCTACCAGTACCGCATGGAGAAAAGCGGCAAGGGTGGAAGTAAGCTGTCTCCTCACTCCCTTCGGTTGCCTCCATGCATGCCCAGAGACTGGCTTTAAACAGGTCTCCATTCAGAATGGGGTGGGGCCGTTCATACCAGCAGACTGTCCACCTGCCTGGTAAAGACCTACCAAAGGCCATTAAAGGCCACTGGGGATTATTCCCATTAATTGTCAATTTGGTTGCCATTTTGGAGATACTAACAGTTAGTCCTCAGCACTGTGTGGGCCTCTGTATCTGAAAAATAAAGTGCTTTTCAGATTGACTTTTAGCATTATATTTACTGATAGCGTGGAGGTCTTGGATTAAAATGTGGCGATGAGAATTCCCTGCCACCCTTAGACTAGCTGTTCCCCTTCTGCACCTAAATATGGCAGTGTGTGTGGAAGCTGATTTTGGCAATGCTTAAACTGTAGCTTTTCTTGGAGATACCTGGTATTTTAGTCGCTGGTCCAGGTACATGTGCACAAAGCACTTTTGTGGTTCTTTGTAAAGGCTCTGGGCTTTTCGGGTTGGCTCGCTCCCTCTCTCATAGGTGCTTTCACTGGCTTATGTCTTCACTTCCATCTCCCGCTTATAAATGAGTAAAAGATGCTTCCATGTCTACTTCCACCTTTCTATAATTTTCAAAGGTTTCATTTGACTCATACCATTTATATTTTTTAATTATATTTATCTTCTGTTTCAAGTCTCCCAAATTGCTTATAACTGGAGGTAGACAAAAGGGTTTTTTAGTAAGTTCCAGTGTTAAAAGATTTGTATGATATAAGAAGCACCCCCACCAAAAAAGAAAACTTTCACATTAAAATTCTTTTCTTTTTTTAAATAATAATTTTTGACATAGAAAAAAATATTTGTTTGAAAGACACCAGAGACCTCTGCATCTTTAAGTCTGTGGGCTTAAGCAATTCAGCAGAAACAGCATATGCTTCAGCTCCTGGCTCTGTATAGGTTATTTGTAATAAGGAATAGATTGCAAGCTATGATGTGAGAAGTGAGTAGTGGGTGAACAACACTGCAGTATTAATGTCTAATGTTTGAATGCAGAAAATTTACACTGACTGTACTTATAAGGAGAGAAAACCAGGAATTTGCTCTAAATGGGAATACAGTTTGCATGTGTTTAAGTAATAACCCTTGTGGAATTGGAGCAGAAATCTCAATTAACTAAGGGTTTATTAATTAACCACCCTGCAGTGGAAAGGAAGACTGTGAATGCTCAGGCAGACTGGTTCATAGGAATAAAGATGGCTGATTTTGAGGGAATCATTATTACAATTATTTAATGCTCCATCCTTTTTACTGCACACAAGTACATGTACATTCAGTCCTTTTCTACTATTTTCAAATGCCATTAATGAAAGTAAAAAAATTATTTTCCTGTGGGTCTACTGACTCATTTTCAAAAAAGAAGACATGATCCTGTTGGATTCTAATATGGCATGCTTTGCCCACTGCTTTTCGTTACATCTTTGTCTCACGGCCATACCACCTCCTGTCTTCATGTTCCCATATCTGAGTGGCCTCATGAGCCAGGCAGGGTCAGATCTTGCTGATAATTGAATGAGGGGGGAATTCCAGCTACTCAGAAAGGGCGCCTAGTGATTATCACTGTCTCCTGCTGTAATGAAGGACTCCTCAGAAAAAAAAAAAAAAAACACCTTGAAGATAGTAGAGATGTATAGATTCCAGTAACAGGATTAAAAAAACGGATAGGAAAAAGAAAAAAAAAAAAAAAAGAAAAAGAAACCCAGGTTCTAAAGGATAAGAGATTAAAGGGCTGACTAACATATGATTTTGATAAAAAATGACTGTTAGAATAATGCATGGGTACTGTACTTAGTTCCTTGCTACATTCATTACCAGGAATGTCATGAAACAGGCTTAGCACCATTGAAATAAATGGCATTTTGGCAGAACTGGCACAGTCATTTTTCAGCTGTCAGCTCTCCAAAGTCTCTCTGACCATAGACAAGTGTTAGGATATTCCACTTCTTTTCTCCAGAGTTGCCAAGCACATTAGCGGAGAACTTGCCTAACATATAACTTCATTTTCAGATGAAGCAAGTGGATCTGCCATCCTAAAATTATCTTACTTGGGCCTGTAAATTAAATAAGAAAGAAAGATAGGATAACTTCTCTTATTCTGAATTTCCTCAGCCTGTGTAATATGAGTATGTGTGGAAACAACATGACTGAGATTTTGAAGGGTAGTTATTTCTTTAATTTTTTTTTTTCCCCCTGATGTCCGGTAATCTTAGCAACAGAAATATTTATTATGTATAATTCGGTAAAGTCACCTGCAGTCATTTTCAATAGAAACTAAACACATTTCTTTGGTTTTCTAAGGAAATCATTGGGGGATACTCAAAAAAGGTAATTTCAGCCTTTTGAGTGTAGCAGTCTTAGAGGACTTGGGGACTATTAAGTCTAAGAGTTTTAATGACTTGTAGAGGGGAGGCAAAAGTCCTCCATGAACAGTTCAGAGGAGGTGAAGGTGCAGCTATCTAGATGGTTCCCCAGGGAAGCCTGACTTTCTGCGTTGAGTGCAGGAGTCCATAGTGCGTGTGAATACTTCCCCAGGGCTTAGTACTGGGTCCAGTCCTCTTCAATATATTCATCGATGACCTGGATGAGGGGATGGAGTGTATCCTCAGCAAGTTTGCTGACAATACAGAACGGGGAGGGGTTGTTGACACAATGGAGGGCTGTGCTGCCATACAGTGAGACCTGGACAGGTTGGAGAGTTGGGCAGAGAGGAACCTGTTGAACTTCAATAAAGGCAAGTGTAGGGTGCTGCACCTGGGGAGAAATAACCCCATGCACCAGTACAGGTTGGGGGCTGACCTGCTGGAGAGCACCTCTGAGGAGAAAGACCTAGGAGTCTTGGTGGATAATAGGATGACCATGAGCCAGCAATGTGCCCTTGTGGCCAAGAAGGCCAACAAGAAGTTGAGGTGCTGTGTCAAAATGACTGTGAATTTATTTCCCTAGAGATAAACTCAGATGTGAAAATATTTCCACTCCTGTTTAAGTTATCTTTGTGTTGTTAAATAGTGTCCTTAACTTCTGAATAAACATCCTAGAAATAAAACTGCCTTTTCCTACAGATTGCTTCTAACTAGTTCTTTAGAATAGGGAGGAGTGCTCAAAGATCAGATGCCATAAAAAAACCACTCAGCTAGGAAATTTTCTTGAGATAGTAGAGAATTAGAAGCACTTCTAAGTCTACATAGTCCCTATCCTGTGTTCATAAGGAACCATAGGCTTTTAAAGAGAGCAAATATCGTTAATCTTGGTGTTTTGACAGTAGCATCTTTTAACTTTAAATGTAGTGTGTTGATATAGAGTAAGCAAGAAAAAAATGTAGAGAGCCACTGCTACTTTTACAGAAACAATTTTCAGAACAGAGCAGCTTGTCCACAATCTGTTACCCATGGCATGCAAACCTTTTCTTAGCCCAAATGATAATGTAAAGTATATAGACTTAAAGCAAAGTTGAACATCCCACAGACACCACAGGTTCTTTTGAAGATCCAATATTCAAGATGGGAAAGACAAGAGAAGTTACCACAGGATCACTGCTCAACAAGCAGGAATTCCCAGCCTGTGGTTTTCCAGACAGAGGAACAATAATGACAGAGACAGAAACAGAGCTAACTCACGTATAGACTAATCGAGATATGTTAAAACAAAAGAAAAGCAGAGTGGTGACTCCCACAGAGTTAAACCTGCAGGAGCAGGTGAGTACTGAAAGCCTCGGCAATTTTTAAGCCAGTCCAGAGTGGACAGCAGTGCACAGCAATAAAGGCTGACGGTGAGTTAACAGGACCCCTACAGCTTGTTGCTGCTAACATGAATTATGAAAGGTTTCTGGATTGTTTCCTCTTCGCAAGTCGTGCTGAGTCTTTTGCTTTCCTGGGAAGCTGCTTTTGGAGGCACGTTCTAACTGTTTGCTTTCTTTGTTTATGGCAGTGTCTGGAGGTCGGAGCCGCTTGCACCTTATCGACCTGGGTAGCTGTGTGAAAGTGCTCAGCAAAAACCGGGAGGGAAGCTCTGGCCTCTGTCTCTCATTGTCCGCACTGGGGAACGTCATCCTTGCCCTTGTCAATGGAAGCAAGCACATCCCATACAAGTAAGTGGTATTCTGTCATGTTCTCTAACGAGAGGATGCTTGCGAGCAGTGGACTTGTCTGGGCCTGAGGCAGACCTCGGCTAAGCAGGGAGAGAGTCTGCTGGGGTCAGTGCAGCCCTCTTGAGATACAGCAAAACCTGCCTAGGGTCCATTGACACCTGATCTACCCTTATATCTGGTAGCTAAACTGTATCTGACATGCGGGTTTCAAAGAAAGAGGCTCAGGTAGGTGTCTTAAAGATCTTAGAAGCAGATCTTTAAGTTCATCACAGTATGATTTTGGTTTTTGGGACTGTTCAAAGATGTTTTCAGTATTTCAAAGCATCTGAGATCTAGTTTCATATTTTCTCCACAGAGGCAAATGTTGCTGCCATAATGCAGCACTACAAAGAAAATGTTTTTGCTGTCCATTGTGTGGAGTTTAGTTTCTTGAAAATGTATGTCACGAGCAAAAAATCACAGAATGGTTAGAGTTGGAAGGGACCTTAAAGATCATCTAGTTTCAAGCCCCCTGCCAGCATGAGCATGCATAAGCATGCATGTTTGTCATGAGATTCTTTCTGTGATCCAAGGTTCCTTTGCACATATTTTTATGTGGTTTGAATCTCAGTGTCAGCCTTTCACTTGCAAAAAAGAACTAGGCTCTATTTGTCACCCTAGACAAGTGGCCTTTGCTACTGCAGGTAGCTTCTAGGAAATTAGAGTAATTGCTCACCTACTGGGTATGTTTTGCACTCATTTCTCTTCATCGTTGTTTCACCCCATTTGTCATGTGTGCAGGTCTGAGAGCAAGTTTGGATTCATTACCCAAGTCAGGCAGTCTTACAGACTGCCTGTTGAAAAGTGTCTGATTTTGTGGATGGTATTGCTTTCCTCTAGCCTAAAGATAGGGAGTAGCAACTAGCAACACAGGAATGGCTTACAGTAGCATCTTGTAATCAAATTGTTAATGAATGTCACCATTCATGAAGGACATGTATGTGATACTCTGGAGTTAGGAACAAGAGGATGACGTGAAAAATGAACCAAGTCACTCACAGAGCGTATTTCAGTCCATACATTTTACCATTTTTGTCATTTTAAAGGCTACAAACATGATTATTTTTTCACATTCATTCAAGATTACAAGGTATTGACAAATTTTACTTCAGTTTTGTTTTCATTTTGGAAAATAAAGATTAATTGGGTTTGGTTATAATTTTATTTTTCTTCTAACATTTATTTTCCAAAATTATTTGGCAGTCTGAGCTTTAAACATGCTCTCTGGAAATATTCCTGTTCCTGTAGCTCAGTCAGACTGGAATTCAGTTAAGGGCCATTTGTACATATAAACATCCATGAAGTGTTTTGTGGATCATGCACCTAATCATAGTGCGAAAATAGCTTGAACTCTGCATTTCACAAAGGTAGCTCAAACTGCGCTTATCAAAAACCTGTCTTCCTTCCTCTTGGATTTTATGGATTGAAGGGAAGGCCAACTGTAGGAATAGAAAAAACGATGTTAATAATGTTAATGATGCTCCCTAGGCTAGAACTAAACATACAAGGAGTTGTTACTAAATACAACAGCTGTCTTTCCTGGCAATGCCTGACTAGGAGAAAAGCGTTACCAGACATGTTTTCTACTCGCTGCACTACCAGTCCCTTTCTGCTGTGATTCCCAGCTGTTGCACTGCTGAACTTACACAGCCCGAGATGCCAGCACACTCACTCATCAATGTTTCCGTACTGCTGAAAGAAGATAAAAGATCTCTTCAGCCAGCATCTCCTCTTGAATTCACTTCTGTAAGAGTAGATAGTATAGATTATAAATATAGAGATGTGGTTTGTCATCGGTAAATCAGAGGCAATGTCTCTGTTTCTATGGGGGACTTTGAAAATGCAATTTGAAAAACTTACTGGCATATTTTGGAGCAAATTTTGTCCACTTCTTCATGAGAAGAGTGCAGAAAGCATTTTTTTCCCAAATGTGATCTACTCATGAACAATGGAAATGAGTCTTGGTGGCTGGGTGAGCACAAAGACTATTTGCTCAGTGATCCAGCCGTAGAGGTGTGTGCTGCTCCTTGGAGGAGAAGAGGAAGGAGGGGGAGTGTGTGTGCTGCATTGTAGAAGAGGCTGGCTGAGCATCCCCTAGGCTGATGTGATATGTGTTCAGTAATACCTCTTGTTTAAAGCAACACCTAGCCTATCTAGCTGACATTATTTCCCTTTCCTTAGGGGTGTTCTCTGTCATTATTAGGGATAAAATTAAAATTTTGTTAACTGCCTTTTTTGAGTGTAACCAAAGGAAAACAATAGAATTTTTTTCTTATCTGACAGCACTGCACATTGTGTGTATGGTCTCAGCACATTTCATAGAGCAACACACGAAATGGAGCATCTTTTCTTTATCTGAGCTATTAAACAACTATTAAGTATTTTATGGCAGCCTGTCAGTAGCACTGGATGGCTTCCTGGAAGCCCGGAAATTCACAATTTCATAGACCTCAGGTTTTCTCTTACTGCAGAAATTTAGTTCTCTAAACTTAGAGAGGCTGCAGGCTTTTAAAGTCCCTTCAGTTCTGTATCCAGCTTTATCTCCACAGGTAGTAGTTGTAGGAAAAAGCTTGTTCAGATTCATAGCTGGTATAAGCAGATGCTACTGCATTGCCTTCAGTGAGCTCTGTGTTTATGCCAGGGATGAATTTGCCTCTCTGCCTGTAGTCTCTATGAAAAAAACATGCTGGTGTTCAGCACATTTTGCATTTTTATTTCTTATCTGTAAATCCAAGCCTTGGAAGCCATTAAGTTTGAATCTTTCTCCCTCAGGAACACCGCACCTGCTCCGCCCACAAATTTTGGGAATACTGACACAGATTGACACTGGCCTTTGCAGGAACTTGTCTAATAAAGTTGTAAGAATGTAATGTAGAAATTTTCAGACTTCAAAGAATACAGGTTGATATGGTTTGGGATCTTGTCCTGCATTCAAGTTAAATTCAATGTGTGTTTGAAGAATGGGTAACAATCCCTATAATGGGCAACTGCCTGCAGCTAATGAATGACCAGACTGTGATTTCTGGGAGTTCATATCTTTCACATATGTACTTTTAATCTCTCTCTAATATTTCAGTGGGTTATCTCTTTGTCACTATTAAAGTCCAGGTATGTTTTGAACCTTACTAATCGCATCACTCTTGGTATGAACCAGTCTTGGTATGAACCAGTGAGTTCTTCCAGCTCAGTATGTTGTATAAGAATAGAATTTTTAATTTGAATTAAATACATTGCCATTTAATGTCACCTGTTTCTTTTGTTCTGGAGTTATGAGCAAGTCCCTCAAAAGACTGGGCAAGAATTATTTTCTCTGCATGAATGTCAAATATATTCATAAAAATTGAAAAGGGGCACTTGCAAGCCCAAGGGAGTCAACTCCAGCCCTGACCAAGTTTGACAGGGCTCAGATCTGCTACAGGAGGAGAGTTTTGCTAAGATGCAGTAATTGTTAGTGCCATTTTATTTTTTTAAGAGCATTTCAGCTTTACATTAGTGCTGCATTATCTGCCTCTGATTTCCAAGATGAATGTGTTTTAAACCCTCAGATGAATACCCATTTGCACAAACTCCAGATACTGGTTTATATAGCTCACTATTCAAAAATTACTCCAGTTGCTAGGCAACAGGGATAGTGATAATTCATGGTAACGCTGTTTTGGAAATAATCATTTTTATACATTTTAATGACTATGAGAATGTAAGAAAACTGTTTAGAAAAGTGCAAGGCTGTATGAATTTCTCTTTCAGAAATTGTTGCTTGTTTTATTTAATAGGCTTCTCTCTTAATGTGCTATTGCAATGTGCTGGTGTTTCTGGAAGCATCCTGTATTTTGAACTACACACTTATGCTTATCCAAGAGGGGAGTCTTGTCCATAAAATAGATGGGCGTGAGTCAAAAGCATGAATTTTATTCTTGGCAATTGTGCTTTTCTGTCATAAGGTTGCAGTTCCTCCCACATCTTACATGCTGGTATTGTTTTTTAATCCTATCTGTAGAAAATAAAATTATATTAAGTGACTGGTGCAAGGTTGCACAAGAGGCTTAGTGGCAGAGCCATCATGTTTTAAGATCTAATCTGGTGCTTAAACCATAAGGTAATCCATTCTTTCTTTCTGTATGACCTTTGGAAAATAATTTATTTCTGTATTTATTTATTTATTCCCATTTATAAAACTGAGCAAGGAAAAATTAAAGTAGGATTTGTAAAGGGCATTCAGACTTGGCAAAAAGCACTACTTACATTTTAACTGTTGCTAGGACTGTGTTACCATATTTTTTTCACTTTTTTTAGAGTTAAGGACTCACATAGATGATCCTAATGGGATGCAAAATCTGGGGTTTTTTGGTCAAGGGTAGACTATTATTGCTTATAAGTGAGGAGGAGAAAAGGGAAAGTGTTGGATTATAGTATTGTGGTATAAAAAATGAGCCTAAAGAATATGCTTTATATCAGATATTTTCTTTAAGTTGATAGTTGATTATTGGAGTAAAAATGAAAATGAGACTTGGATGGATCCAGTAATTCAGATTCTTTTTTTGGTTAAATTGATGTATCTATCTGCAATTGTTTCATCTGTGTAAAAAAACTGTGTGTGAAGAGAACTGGGATCCCAGGTATCTTTTGTTTACATGTCTTGCCTTTGCAATTATAGCGTTGAGTTAGGTTATTCTACTCAGAAGAAATGTCAGCAAAAATTTTCAGGAAGAGATAAGAAAAGCTAAAAACCAATTTACAATACAATTCTTGTACAATAAGTAGTATTAGTGCTGGAGATTTATCCTTCTTTATGAGCTCATACTAAGTCTTAGTTTTGTGTGATTCACACAAGCATGTCTGCTGAATTCAATGCCAAAATTGAACTATATGCCCAATGAGCAATCTGTTTAATGGTTACTTCGTCAGTGCCTAAACCTAAAGTAATTATTTTTTTAATTGAGAGATTTCAATCACTTTTGCTT